CCTCCATGGGGGAGGCCGGGGAGGGAGCCCACTGCTCCGAGCTTGCGCGTCCACCCAGGCGGAAGCGTGGTAGCCACCCCCAGGTGGCTCCAAAACCAAATGATACGTAAAGTCTGTGGGCGTGGGGTTCCTGCCCTCTTTGAGCCGCGGACCCGCCTCGCCGGGCACCTAGGTCCTTACGGGGACCTAGGCGGGACCACCCCTCCTACTCCCGTATCCTAATACCTAAAGCGGTTACTATGGGTTGAGGATAGTTATCTTGGGCAGGGCGTCCCCCACACCAAGGGCCAGTAGTAGGGCGTCCCCCACATCAGGCCGGTGCACGTAACAGCGTTTGGTGGTGTGGCACTTTGCGGTGCTGCGGGGCTCCATTTTATGCTCAGGACACCACAAGTATCGTATGGCCTAACATGGTGCCCAGTGCCCACAATCATGCGCACACCCATCAACCACTAAACTGCATTTGCATGCCCACAAAGCACACTGGTTTGACCCCTTCAAACGGTTTACTTGGCCATTTAAACGGTCCAGGCTGCCCCACAACCACAACACCGGCGTCACCAAAATAGCTACACAATCAAGAGCATTTTACACATTTTTCAGAATGGGGCTGCGCCTCCCGTGTATAACAAAATGCCATAGCAATGGTGGGTATGTAAAGCATTGTCTAGTACTTGAAACATAAATAAATGTTGCAATGGGGCAATGTATATAGCCCCAAATCCAAAACATAGAATATGCAACCAAACCACAAAAGCAACATGTCAAGCTCTTTGATATTACTCAACCACTACAAAGGCACAAGTCTAAGCCCAATAAACTGCTCAAGAACATGTTCCAAAACGTGCCCATACAAGATTAGGCAGTCTCTTTGAAGAAAACCTCAACAACTGACCTCCTTTTCGAGTTAATGAAATTCCATACTATTACAAATACAGAAAATGCGCCCTTGCACCCACGCAAACCCCTTACAGCACATTGCCACTCCTCTCTTGTATCCCACACCACCAAGGGAAGGTGGGAATGGCTCATGGGCTATAAAAAGTGCATTGGCAGCTGCACAAATATAGAAAAGAAAGTGGTTTCACACACACAACCACTTTAAAGACAAAACAACCCTTTTCAAGGGTCTGATATATAGTCAACCCTCCCTATTCAGAATACAATGGACGGGTTGTCGGTCCTTCCATAGAACCATGCACAGTCCGGTGCACTTGCCTTTTCAAAATGACCATCACCCTTTCACGTTTTCCTTTTTTCCACTAGGCCAAACCATTGCCATGTTTTCACAATAACTAAACACTTTTGCCCCAAATCAGTATGGCTTGCACAGCCAACCATGGGGGAAGTGTAAAACCGTATTGTCAACACACAGGGTGAGGGGAGTCAACCTACTTCTGATTCTCACTCCCTTACCCTAGTCATGCGCTGAACTTGTCATGGCCATCCTGGCCCATGACTTTTAGTACATGCAAAATTTTTAGTGAGAGCTAAAAATAGCCTTGCACAGCACAAGGACTGACACCGTGCCTAGTCTCTGAAATCCCACAGAGTAAACATGCCTGCCATGTCAAACCTGTGAGTGTAAGTGCATTTCAAGATTTTCGCTTGAACGTAAACTTACATATCATATAAAACCCCATTTTTCCATGTGAATTACTGGACTATATGCCTTTCCTCGTCAGGTTAGGCAGCCCAGATGGTCTAAGACTTTCTCAGACCAGGGATGTGCTAGCTAGGCTTATCCCAATCTACCCACATAGCCTGGGCCCTTGAGGTCATAGGTGGGCCGTCCAGGAACGGGGACGGACTAGGAACGGGGACGGGAACGGGAACGTGGACGGACCGGAATCCGTCCCCATCCTTGGGCCAGACATATTTGGGATGGATTTGGGACAGATTTGGGACGGATTTGGGATGGACTGGAACGGACTGGAACGGACTGGAACGGACTGGAACGGACTGGAACGGACTGGAACGGACTGGAACAGACTGGAACGGGTCCGTTCCTAACCCTGGAACGGACCCAGGAATGGACCCAGGAACGGACCCAGGAACGGACCCGTCCCTGGGACGGGAACGGACACCGTTGCCATTCCCGTTCCGACCAACTTTGGACGGGCCCACCTCTGCTTGAGGTCTAGGACCTCCTAGAGTCGTCTTTGAATCCAATCAGTCTGGGGAGCTGAATGGTGACACGGATCTGTTGAGAACACAGGGTGGCATCTCACATCCAGCCCTTATCTCCCTGGCCTTACACCACCCTCGTTCCCACTCCTAAGGTTTGCGGATGTCCACTCATAAGCCATTTTCGGAGTGTTTTCTCTTTGTTTTCTTTTTTTCTTTTTGTATCAGCAATGGTGGCATACTCCGGCTATCCCACGTAGTGTGCACAGTGCATATGGTAGATACCCATCGTACGCCAATTACATAAATGATCCACCCAGTGAAAACGGTGGTCATTGTGTGGCATCACGAACAGCTCTCTATTCTCTCCTTTTCTTGCAGAAGTGGTCAAGATGTTACAACCTTATACAATTTATAGACAGGCCCGGGGGGAACGAGACCATATCGGGTGCGGCAGGGGTGGGACACAAAATATTGGCGTCTTCAGGCATGCTTGGGTGGAGGTCGGTTGCTGGCCCCCCACGGCTTGGGGCTAGGGCGTGGATTGCAAAGAAGTCTTCTTTGCATTCCACGTCCTAGCCCCAACCTGCTGTCTTAGGCTCTTATAATAAAGACTCGAGGTCATGCCATGTGGCTTATACATGAGTACATGAGTGCAACACTTGAGTGCTGTAATGCACATGCATCTGCAAAACAAGCCACATGCATCCTATTATTCAGAAATCAACGTTGGGTGTGGGCCCACCATCGATAGGGTGCGCAACCTGCTCGGGGAAGTGCTAGAAGGGGGCCCATCCCCTACGCTCTCAATGCGATTTGCATTCGCACAATGTTGTTGGTTTGTTCTTGGTGCTTGGAAACATTCCTCAAACCGTGGCGTCATAAGGAATGTTGCAGATTCGCTGAATTCTGGAGGCAATAAGCCTTGAACGGCACAATCGTTAATTGGGTTGCACCGAGATCTAGAAGCACGTTTTAGTAGTTGCAACAGCGCTTTTGGCGGAAAAGCCTTGCAAAAGATAGCAGGGTAGTCGTCGGCTGTCCCCATGAACAAGTCTCCAATGGAGGCACCCATTTTCCGAAAAAAAAATCAAATGGATCGCAAACATGGAGACACAGAACATGGCGAAACTATTGAAGTTAAATTTTCTCCCGATTTTTCCACCGGGTCTTGAGAAAGCAAGGGCAGGGCTCAGTTCTGCAACCAACAGGGGCAGTTGACTCACCTGGAACAACTCGCTTTGTTGATGGGTATTGTTTTTGAATCGCATGAGTCGGCTAGTCATGGGCTGTGATTCGAAACATTGAAGGTACTGGTCCAGGACTACTGGAAGTCACCAGTTGAGCTGTGCCAAAGTAAGCGCCCCGTAGGCATACAAATGCAACACACTGTCGTGGACATCACCCTGCCCACGCACTCATCTACAAGAATTCTGCTCTTAACTGAGACCCAGCGGCCAGCACCCATCCCGTCTCCACCCAACCCAGATTTTTAGAACCGTGCACTGTGTCGTCTGGTAGTGTAGTCAGCAGGCGACCCATGCAACGCTCAATCCAGGCGGCTGCCACAGCGCTGCCGGAAAATTGGCGCCGTCTGGCACGCCACCGCGAGCGTGTCAGAGAGTACCCGTCCCTGACCGAGGCTGCGCTTCAGTCTTCGCCGGCAGGCCGGCTGCAACCAGACGGCCGCCGACTGTGGCGCGTCAGCAGCCCTTGCCTGCGCCTATGCCCACCGGGTTCAAGCCCAATGACGAGAGATCAGGGCCCCGAGCATCCAGCCTTCGTGCCGCACATCGTTGGTGCTGTCTCGTGGTGGACAACCCTCGTTGCAGATGCAGCCAGACCGCAGTTCACATTTTCGGCTACGTCTTTGCCCTGTCTGGCACAGAAGAATAATGATGCTGATGACAGTTCACACACCGCGGGCCCCGATCACCCTTGCAGAAGGCGCGGTCGGTCCGCTCTATTGACACCGGGGATGATGCAGCCCATCCTCGGATGCCGCTACGTTGTTAATCTCGCACCTCGACCATTCTGGTCGTGCACCTGCCGGCAGGATTACGCGCACCCCCCCTGACTGCTAACCTCGCCTCACCATTCCCACCACGAACCGCCTTGCAGACCGCCTCTCACGCGCAACAACCCACGTAACCCCCCTCGTACACAAACAACAGCCCCCAAACTGCCTTGGTAAACTTCTCGTCAACCCCCGGCGTGTGGCGAGCCCTGGCCGCCACCGCAGCCTACCTTCACAGCGAAGGAACCGACCGCGACAGAGCACAAGATTAGTCTCTGCTCTGCGGCCGGCCACCTCCAAGCGTAAATCTGGCCTCTGCTGCCCGTACCCCATTCCTGCCTTCCTGCCTCCACGCAGCAGCTCGCGCCCACCCCCTTGCAGCTGCGGGATCCACCGCTAACCTTGAAAGCAGCGGAAGCTTTGAGTGTCGCTGACTGTGATTGACCCGAAGCGAAGATGACCGCCGAGGTCTTTGAAACAGCCGCCGGCGTGACGAACAGAAGCGTCGCCCATGAGATGCGGCGTACGGGCAAGTCACCGGGTGCCGTCAGGGCGTCCGACCCGCCCTTCGGCGCCACGGCCAGCCAGGTGGCCGATAATTGGTCAGGCGAGGGCAAGGTGGTGATCGTGACCGGAGGCTACGGCGGCATAGGGCTTGAGACCGCTCGCGTGCTGGCATCGCGGGGCGCGGAGGTCGTGATCGCGGGGAGGAATGAATCAAAGGGCGAGGACGCGATCGCGGAGCTCAGGAAAGAGAACCCGGAGGCCAGGCTGCGGTTCATGCGGCTGGACACCTCGAGCCTGGCGTCCGTTGCGGCATTTGTGGAGTCCTTTCGAAAATCTGGGCTGGAGTTCGTGAACACACTGGTGAACAACGCGGGGATCATGCACGGCCCGTTCGGTCTGTCGAAGGATGGGCACGAGATGCAGTTCGCGACCAACCACCTGGGGCACTTTCTGCTGACCCGGCTGCTGGCGCCCGAGCTTGAGGCGGGGGCCAAGAGGGCGGGAGCGGCGTCCAGGGTGGTGAACGTGTCGAGCTGCATGCACCACGCGACCTACCCGGGGGGAGTGAGGTTCGAGGGGCTGGACGAGGAAAAGGGGTACAGCGAGGGGGCCGCGTACGGACAGTCCAAGCTGGCCAACATCCTGTTCACCAGGTGGAGATGTGTGTTGTCACAAAACGTGAGGGCCGGCGTGGCGTGTTGATCGCTGCAGTGTCGCGAAAACTTGCGACCGTCGACTGCAAGTGTTGGTCGCCGTCGCATCGTGCTTCGTTCGTCGTAATTGTGTCCTGTGGTCTCGAGAATATGGCTGATCTTTGGTTTTGCATTCGTGCATTCTTGCGCGTTCTTTCTTCAATGGTCTGATGTGGGTTGGCGTCCCTTGCATCCCTGATGGAGCAGCACAGAGGCACAGGCGACTCACTTGACGTATTTGGCACACTTTGTGTGCAGTGGACGCATTCGGCTCACCATTGGATGAGAAAAGAGCGGTATTGGCCACAGGCACATTTGGCTGTTCAATTTTTGTCAGCCTGGCAATCATTTGCAGGAATTGTGGCACAACCAAGTTCTATAATGTGTCAAGGCCCGCACAACAATTTCCTAAAAGAGTATCCTTCGCACACGTCTTGCTTTTGCATGCATTCGTCAATGACGGTATGACTCTCAAAGTGCCCTTTGCGACTGGGAAAATCTAAAACTTCGTCAATGGCTATGCTGCCAGGGAACTGGAGGCTAGGATGCGGTCCAGCGGCGCCCAAGTGACGGGGGTCTGCTGCCACCCTGGCGTTGTCCCTACGCAGATCATGAGGAGCCATTCCAAGCTCGTGGGCGTCGCCTTCCGGTGGATCTTCAAGAATTTCATGCCTTGCTACCGGGAAATACCGCAAGGCGCCGCCACTCAGGTGACACCCGCACAACAGTATCATCTTTCAGAGCATGGAAAGGGTCCTGCACACATTTGCTTAGGAAAGGGTGCCCTTTGTATGACCTTTGTCTTTCTTGCTCTGCTTCTTTCTCTCTTTGTATTTCTTTCTCTATTTGTAACAAATCTTACCCGCGCAACAAATCATGGACAACCGCCACGGTTGTTGCTGAAAACTTGAACAACTGCTCCTCTAAATGCTTGTGACAACAAAGGAAGGATATGCTCTAATTGTGCGGGGGAGTGTATGGGAGATATGCTCGTTGGCAACCCATTTGTTTCGCGCAAAAGTTGGGATACGCAGTATGAGGGGACGGCAGGATCGGGCTCACACGCCCCTGCTCACGTGCACTGGTGCTGATTCTACGTCCAAATTGGTTCCGTCACTGGAATCGCACAAGGTCAGTCGAAATCAAGTTGTCGTTATTCTACCCATACTACGAACTCACAGTGGAAGCAATTTCAAAATGTTGAATAACAGCACGTGCCTGAATTCAGGCTTTGAATTCGGGACATTCGAATGTCTTGAGCTGACAAAGTCACGCAGTTACTAACTGTGTAGATTGGCAATCGAATGGATTGTTGGCTCGCATTCACCTTTTTGAATTGTCCCTTTTCTCGTCTCGTAACTTTCCATCGACGCCATGTCCACAGGTGTTCCTTTGCACCGCCGATGAGGTGAAGGGCGGCGAGTACTACATGGACTTCGCCATACTGCCCACAAGCAGATACGCAGTGGACCGGACCTTGGCAAAAAAGCTGTGGGACGTCAGCGAGGACATGTGCCAGGAATACCTTAAGGGGTGACGGGATACATGCTGAGTTAGAATTGAAACGTGAGATGCACTTGCAAATTTGGGGATTGATGTATGGGTTGGCTTTACAGCATAGTGTACAGGACCATACATGGAGTATTGCAGTAATAGTAGCAGCATTTAGAGATGGTGGAAAGTGAGCCTTCATAGGGTCATCAGACAGGTCGGCGTCTTCTGCCGGGGCAGTGCTGCTGCATGGACGTCAGCGTTTTTGCACATTCCCAAACAGTGGTGTTGCCCGTGGTGTACAGGCGGCCGACTAATTGGTGTAATGTTTCTTGATTGGTCGCTTTTGGGTCAGGTTCCTGGCAGCAACGACTGGGGAGAAATCTTCCCAAGGTTCGAATTCCTTGGATGTAGCCAAGGAGTGGCACAAAGGCCATACTTGCCATGGCTATTCCGGGCATGCATTCCAAGGATACCCATGGTCCAAGAAATGTCAGCATCCAACAGACACAACAAAGCAGCTGGGCGTGTGCGACGCCATCTGAACAGACACGCATTCCAAACAGCAACCGTCATCACGTCACACAGGCAAGCGTGGTGCTCCAGAGCACCCCCAACGAAAAACAGCAATTATTTTCCATGTTTTGCGCTTTCTGTCCTTGCTCAAGACCCCGCTCAATCTGCGAACCTTCGAACCAGTTTTGCAACATTCAACTACCAACCGAACGGGACCCAATCAAGCAGTCGCCACCCCATATTGCCTCATTCCGGGCACTCCCCACCGGCGCAACAACGCACACAAGCACTCGTCACCACCGCAAAATTGCCGCGCAGACACAAGCAGGCCTCCGCTCCTCAACCCCTTCCACGCATCCCGCCTCTGGCCCCGGCCCTCCCCCCTCTCCCCAGGCCACTGCGCCCCCTTCCCCTTCCCCCACCTCCCCTCGCCGCAAACCCACCCCTACCTCGGCCCCGGCCCCCCCGTCCTCCGCCTCTCCCCCTCCCCCTCTCCCCGCCTCCTCGACCTCCTCCTCGGCGCCAACCTCCGCCCCGGCCCCTCGGGCCCCTCGGGCCCCCCGGGCCCCCTCTCCTCCAGCCCCTGCCAGATACCCTGGGCCCGTGCTGTGGTTTTTGAACACCCCCCCTCCGACGCCATCCCCGGCCATCCCCGGATCGTTCCCCGCCTCCCCGCGATCTGCCGTGTCCCCTCCCGCGCTCATTGTCCCCCCGCCGATCGCCAGTTTTCCCTTCCCCAACATCCGCGAAGGCATCGCCCAGATCGTCCCCGCTCAAGTGCCGCAGGGCCTCCCGGCCCTTCGCCTCCACGACGTCGTCCTCATCGCTGTCCACGTCATACCCTCCTTCTCCCCCCCCTTCCTCGCTTTCGTCGTCGACGTCCTCCTCGCCGTCGTCCAACCCATCCCCCCCGTCGTCAAAATCGTCGCCGAGGTCGTCGCCGCCGACCCATTCCTTAGATCCACCTTTGACTATCCCATTTCCCCCAACCGCTGCTTGCCCACCTCCTCCCGCAGGCCCCCAGACACCAACCGTCTCTTTCGCTTTTTTCGAAGTTTTTTGAACTTCCTCACAAACTTCAAGCGCTTTTTCTGGCTTGCCTTCCAGCCCTTTGTCGGCTTTCCCGGCCGTCGGCCTGTCGCCCAGTTCCACCCCCAGGTTCCTTAAAGCCCGCCGCACCTTGCGTGGCACTTGGTCCCCTGCGGGCACGCGCGTGCGGTGAGCCACCTCGCCCGGGCCCTTGGGGACCGCGATGACGCACTTTTGGGCCTTCAGTTCTTCGGGCCCGACCTCCAGGCGGACCTTCACGCCACGGCTCTCCCTGCTCCGGCCCGGACACAAGCAGCACGATTAGTCAACGATCGTGCTGTCGTGAGTAACCATCGCCATTTGCCAATGTTCTGAATTCATTGTCATGACCTTTTAAACGACGAGCGCGATTGGTCGACGATTGCACAATCGTTTACAATGTTCTTGATTCGCTTCCACAAAATTGTGGCCGGTTCATTGTCCTGGCGTCGTCGATGGTGGCTGGTTATCGCGTGTGCAATGTTCACTGGCTAGAACTGTTGTCAGTGCGCTGGCCGACATTTATCCGTTTGTTCTTTGTGTTGAAACATGTTGCATCAAAATTTGAACAGAACGGACAACGACATCGCCTTCGTGTGTCGTTCCGCATGGAGTTTCGTTGCAGTCTATCAACAGGCACACGCTCGTTCTCTGTCATCAAGTACAATTACAAAGCCGAAGAAAACACGCCACGCACCAGGGCGCTTCTCCTCATCCTCGAGAAGGTGCCCATCGCCCCCGCCTCAAGCAATTGGACAAGCCAACAGAAAATCAATAATATGTGCAGATAAAAATGCATCAAATTCATTTATGTGTAGCCAACTCATTCATTTGTGACCTCCTTTGGACAAGATGCAGTCCTTAGTGCTCAATATGCTGCTTCAACCACTCCACCAGATGGCATGCAATGACATTCTGCTACGTGTCGTCCCCATGATGTCACCCCACATGCGCACCAGTGCCGATCTGGCCCTGCAGGTGGTGGCGCTGGGCTTTGTCGCTTTTCGGCAAACCGTTCAACCAATTCACTACTACGTCAGCAGGACCTGCTCGTTGACCGCACCAGTACGTCATCTTCTGGCTGGGCTTCAGGCCATCGCGCATGTCAAGCCTGCACACCACGCCGGTCGCCTCCAATTTAGTCATGAGGTTTCTGGCGTATGTGATGACCGCCGCCTTCTCCTCCTCCCGTCCTTCCGTGCTCCAATACACAGGAATCACCGCCACCTGCCATGGCAAAAACCATCATATACTGCAACCGATGAATCCTGCTGCTGCTGGGATCTTACTGTTGCTCTGACACATTCGGCCGGCTGGCAGTTGACGGCTGAATTTCACAAGGACAGGACAAATCAGGCTGTGTTTAGGACCACATCGCACCAGCAAATTCGACAGGGCGTAGATGTACAAGACAGCCACAGAAACTTATCTGTTTGCGATGCACTTCGAAGCACTGTTCGCCAGTTCGATAGGATGTTACTTACTCCATCCATCATAATAGACAGACATCATGACACACAAGCCAGTTTCCAGCACTCTCAATTCCAGAGGCACTCTGTGCATCTGCAGGATTATCGCTGGCCTCCTGACTGGCGCACTGAACAAGCGCTCTCATGGAAACACTGAGGATGGACAATTGTCCAGCAACCCCTCGCAGCTGGAGGGACAGCGATTCGTCCTGACGTCACTGAACATTCTTCAGAACAAGACAAATCACTGCCCTTGGCCGGAATCTGCCAATGCCATCCTAAACATTGGGGGCATGTCTCAGGATTGCTATGAGTGCATTTTAGTCTGTGTGGGGAGGGCATTGGGCCCTCCACTTCAATACACCATGAAACGAGGAGCAGAGAGCAGTTTGCTGATGGCATTTGCATGTGCAAGAGCCAAGATCGACAACCCTTTTTTCCACACTTGTTAGCTATATTCCACAGGATGAGGCCTGGCCCACATTTACTGGCACCAACCTCCCACCCATTTCACAATAACTGGCCATTGAACCACACCAGCAAGCATCTGTTTGCCTTGGTCGGGGTTAACATGCAGACCTGCTGCATTGATTTTAGAGCCTTCCAGGGTTGCTGTTTCCTATTTTTGGATTGCGGTGGGCATGCAGGTACAGGAAAGTCACCTGGATTTTCTTCGGAGGTGGTCTTGCAGCAGCACGCAGTTTCTTTGCTGAAATATACTCCTTTCCGGTAGCGTGGGCCTCGCGGGCGGCGGCCTTCAGTGCATTCAGCAAAAGCACAGCACAGTCAACGATGGTACAGTGTAGTCATGATAGTAGTGCACAGTTTACAACTGCAGGGTATTGCACTTCCAGAGCTTAGAATGCTGAGCAAAGCTGCCGATGTCCTGACCACTGAAGCATCAATGCAACAATTTACAGTGCTGACTTCTTCGTTATACAGCGGTACTAACTTGCCACTCTCAAGTACCGGAATTCTTTACTGGCAACTTCCAGGAAGAAACAAAGACTGCCATTTGCAGAAGGGAGAGTAAACAAAACTCAAGAACCAATGCCAGTGACAATCTGCATCGTTCACAGTCGGCCAGACGTCTGCTGTGTGTCATTCTTTGACCTCAACTCTTGAATTTCGCTCACTAATCCTCAGGAAACCAACAACGTGGATTCCAAACCGCAAAGTCTGTTTCATGTCGCCTCTAAGGTGCAAGGGCAGCGCTGTGCTAAAGTGGTATCAAGGATGTCACCTTGGGGGCAAGTGTGAAGTTGTTTGTCTTTGGCATAAAGGTCACCATCATGGACAATCCACTGTACTTTGCCAAACCCCTACAGAAGTTGAGGTTGAGGTTGAGACTTCTTGTGCCCATATTGTTCAACTTGATAACCTGATGAGCAAAACGTGTGAGGCACGACCTGATATGATGTTGCTACACAGAATTCAGGGAATGTCAGTGACCTGAGTCATCATGAGAGAGTCAAAAAGAAAGCAGAGTGGAAAATACAGCTCTAGTCACCTGCAGCATCCTCTGCCTCTCCCTTCGCTCCATTTCCTTCTTTTCATTCTCTTCCCTCAAAGATGCATCAATGGCTGCCTCATCCTTTGAGCTCTCCTGACTTGACAACATGACAAAGAACTGAACAAATGTTTTCATGCTGTTCGTCAACAGCGCTGTACCAATATTTGTTAAGAAACAGTGAAGAAAAAATGAAGCGGAAGGTGTGTCCTTGTCACGCTGAACCATTTCTGTTCGCAAGGATCTTTCAGCAGTCCCTGCATGTGGCAGGAACGCAAGTTGGACAGGCCACAGGGAACTGCACAAGGATCAGCGACTCCCTTCAAAGGGATGCACCACTGACAACTAATCTGTCAGGTCAAACACCAACACCTTGCCCCCAGGCTCTCGAGGAAGACAACATAATAACAACTATGACAGTGACCAGGTTGACGGCTGAATTTCGTATTGAACAAAGACAATGTGAATTCCTTGCCCACTTGAGGCACGGTACTGCTGCAAAGTGACACCCACCGGCTCTTCATTGTTCCATCCTTGGGCTTCCTGGCAGTAGCTTTGGCTACCTCTGCAGGAAAACAGTTGCACTTTACTGAGCAGCAAGAGGCCACACAGAAAATAGACAACAAGAGTGGGCCCCATGGGCAAACCAGATTGTCTGCGCTGCTGAATCACTTCCAAGAAAGCACTCTCTCAGTATTCTAAGCTTCCAAAGTAAGTCAAGTCAATGCACTGGCATCTTTTCTCAAGCATGGGATGCATGCTATGAGACAATGGAACTCAGCCGTGCAAAAGTTTCAACCGCCATTGGCTTTTGATTTTGCTTGTTACTGGACTGATAACACCATCGCCTGCAACGTGCAGAGGCCTGTGTCGCAATATGCTGGCAATCTGCACCACACAGCATTACATCTCACATGCAGCAGTGGGCAACCTCAAAAGCTTGCTGCTAATTGTGCAGTGTGCCTACCCACTGGTTTTCAAGGCGTTCCATCAGCTCAACAGAATCGAAAAGGAGCAGCAAACTATCTCGCTCTGGAGAGGCTTATTCTGGGGAACAACTTGGATACGTTGTTTCCTTTCGGACATTTTGGACATTCTTTGATTTGGTGGTGAAGGCAACATGGTGCGCTTTAAGACGATGGGTAGAGGGGTGCCTTTTCTTTGGGGTTGCGCTGCCAAGGCCTGTTTTCCTCTTGGCTAGAAATCACTTTTGGCAAATGAGCCTTGGGGCGCCTGAGTGGCACCCCACCAGGCAATCTATTCAGGGAATGGGAACAACTGGTGCTCAGGGATAGAAACGGCCGACTCTAACACAGTTTCGGATGGCAAAACAAATATGAATGCCCTTCCATCCAGTTGGCGATGTTGGGTCGCATATCACATTCGTTGGTTGTATGCTGAAAAGGCAGCACATCAACAGTCATATGAGGTGAGTTATGAACTGTGGCTCAACAAAATTTGATAAGCTCCTTGAGATATAGTTATCAGCAAAACATAATGGCACTGGCACAGCGGCACTTTGCATGCGACAGTGGTCACATTCACTGGCGCTTGGCCCCGCCTAATCATAGGCCGCCCTACCTCTTGGTATGAGGAGCCAAGAGGATTAACTCAATCCGCATTGGTATCCATTTCCTTGCTGAATTCCTAAACACTGTTGGTGACGACCTTGCAATCTGCTGTGTGGCGAACAGTTACTTGGAGTTCAACAGGTTGCGGAGCATTTCATGAATGCAGACCCATTTGATTTCAGCAATCTGGTTCCCCCGTACTGCTTGCAGCGATACATGCATTCCTTTGGTCCAGGGCCCCGGCGCCTCTGTTCGCCACTCCAAATCGCCCCATACCCCCTGGTGGCACAATTCTTCAATCTGCCAGCGACAGCCGGAGACATGCCACGGAATCCATTGGAAAATTCCGCCACGCGGCACACATCACGTGATGCGCACACATCGAAAGAACATTAAGTCCATGGAAGGTCCCGTCTTTTTGCTTCCACGCTGTGATCGGGATGCCAAGACGGGAAAACCTGGCGTGGGGGATCGAGGAAGGTCACAAGATGCGCACTGAGTGGCTGGTGGACTGAATCCAAGGGGTGCAACGGCACGCATGTCCACTTGCCAACGAACGCATGCGGGACAGAAGCAAACGTTCGCGGATGTGTACACGCCCGTCATCGCCTACAAGGTCCAAGGGGCCGCCGCTTTGTCTCGTCGAGGGCAATTCCAGACAGAGGATTTCAGTCAGCCATCCCCCCCCCCACCTGCCATGTCTTGGGACGCCCCGCCCTCTTCGGCCCTCCGCCTCTTCCTCCCACGCCCCGTCGCCCCGCCCGCCGTCGGCGATCCAGATTCAAATCCCTCGTCTCTCGACCGGCCCTCCGATCGCCCCCGACAGGCCATCCCCAAGTCATCCCTCCCGCCGCCGCCGCTCAGCCCCGCCATCCGCCGCACGTCGATCAGCAGGCGCTTCATGGCCACCAGGTGGCGCATGGCCAGGTTGCGGCGGCCCATTGGAGACGCCATCGAATACGTGTCGAACGGGGGCCTCTGGACCCGCAACGCTGCCGGGGGTGCGCCCCAGACGGCGTGGGCGACGGCGGACGTCCTGCGAAAGGACTGCTGGTGTAGGTTTAGGTTTGGGCTTTGGTTTAGGTTTAGGTTCACAGCCCACTAACAAGCGGATGACGGGTTTCCTTTTGGTTTTATTTCGTGCGATTGCATGACGTACTGGGCAACGTCATTCGGATTCGGTGGCGTCGTCCTCATTATCTGGAGTGTTCTCTGGCGAAAGTCGTGCAAAAGGGACTCACTGCACTAATTAATCAATTTATTTAGATATTTATTTAGTTTGTTATTTTGTCTATTTTCTTTACTTCCTTATTCATCTGGAGCGGGGGTTGCGATCACATCCCAACCATGAGTGGATGATGGGCTTGCTTCTTGGTTTTTAATTTGTGCGGATGCATGAAGCTTCATGCAACCCCACTTAAATACTTGATTGTTGGGCAACGTCTTTTGGAGTTGTCGCATCGTTCTCCCTTGGTTGGAAGATCGAAGCTGACGTTCGCAATCAGTGCAATTGATTCATCATCTCCAATTCTTCCCAAAGTATGGGAACAGTGGACGATCCAGGGTTGCCAAGTTGTGGCCACGGCTGCCACATGCATGACGAGGTTCATTTCAGATGACGTTCAAGTGGTGATCCACGCGCTTGACCACAATGGGTCACCTCTATGGGGTTGATCTCTGGGGATGCTGTGCGCCCATCACACATGCACCTATTCTCCCATTCCTTAGGGTGTGCAATGTGCCCCGGTCAACATAGTTTTGAGGGAGACAATGGCATGAAGCTTTGTGCTCCACTGCGCCACACACTGGTAGAAAGCGGCATGTCTGCGATGCCAGTTGCGATGCTATTTTGACGCAAAGTGATGCCGCCACAGCGATTGCGACGGGATAAAGCGGCTGCGATGGCATCAGTTTGTGTCAAATGGCGTCGCAATTGGCATCGCAGACAGGCTATTTTCTACTGGTGCACAGGACCTGTGGCAGCGACGGCCCATCCCTTTAATGAGATCATTGACGACATTTGTGCACGTCGACTACCCCGAACGCATGACTGGCTTGCGATTGTCCTGGCGCCATGCAGAGAAATCGAGCAAACTCTGGAGCTGCGACGGGACTAAATCGACATGGATATTTGTATTAAACCGCACTCGGTGTTGATCTGTCTGTGGCCCAATGTGTGGCAAGCTGAAGTAAACTAAGCAGGGCGGATATAGACTAAGGCGAGCCGCAGTAAAACCTGGCACTGCCACCACTCTATCAACACATTGCTGACCGCCGGTCAGCGACACGCATCGGTGGAGGTTGGGATCCATGAAGAAGCATACAACACCCGTTGTTGAAAAGCAACGCACAACCGCTGGCAGAATGCCCTGAAATGCCACTTCCCGCCCCCCAAATACACAAACGAAACACAGGCCAATGGGTGACGCAGGAATCCAGAATTTGTTTTACAATGGCACTTCCACAGCACAAAAAATGTTCAACACAAGAAGCCTCCCCTCCTGGTGATAGATTATTCCCACCCAGACGCACCAACAAACAACAGCTTGCACCTTATCTCACAATTCGCGCCTCACCAAGCGCCAGTAGAGAACTGCACAGGCGGTAGGACGTCTGCTCGCCCTCCTGGAGTAGTCACAGGCACCAAGCGACTGATAGTGCCGCTCCAAACACCACATCCGCACAAAAGTTGCCTTCTGTCACCGGCAAACGTCTCAGCGACTGAATTTTCGCATGTTCATGCCAGGCCCCTGCAGCGCCCCACAAACCAATCCCTGCCACCCGCTCAATCTGCAATCTACGCTCCGCACTATCTCTGGACTGCATCTACGATGGACTCTGGACACCAACACCAACAGAGCCAACCAAAATGCCACTTCCCAGTACCACTCTGGGGAAATTCACTTGATCCGAACATCCGCAGCACATGCCAAGTGAAGCTGGGGGTGCAGCCAAAACGACCAAAGACTTTGCACCTTGCAGGCAATGACGCATGCAAAGAATCCCAATCAACGTTGCTCTGGATCTCAACGCCTGTGGGCATTGAAGGTATTCAGGCAGGTGGGCAATACTGGCCATCAGAGACTAATTGTCGAGCTCCAATTCTAGTTACCACATGCCCACCGTCGAATATCGAGCTCATCTCGGTAGACGATGTGCAAACCATGTCAACCGGCCAAGTCCTGAAACGCTCATCAGGACCAACCCCTTGCCACCTCCCTCGCCAAGGCACGTGCGCCAGGCAACATCGCATAACACGGCACATACCACACATTCAAACGCAGGTTTCGACTGCCAATGACTGAACAGTCATAATCCACATTCGGCTGGGAGGTCACAGTCAGCCCTTTCGACAGCCCCATCGGGATCGCCTCCTTGCAAACATCGTGCACCCCGAACGTTGCACTCTGCACCAGCTGTCGATCTGCGAATATCAAGCGCCGTGTGTATGTCCAATGTCCGGTACAAAATCGAAACTCAAGCACAGTCATCATACCTTCTTGGGCACCTCCAGGCCCACCTTCTTCCTTTTTTGCCTTTTCTCTTTTTTCCTTTGTTTTCCGCTGCAAGTCCACCCAGACATGCATAATATCCAACACGGCACGTCAAGCAGCATTTGCTACATGTCAAATATCAAACACCATACACACATGGTCATACATCGAGTCAGGCTCAAGACAAGGTCAGGAGACCTCCCTGGACCTCTTTGGGCCATCCTGCTGGGCCCCAGTGTCGGGTTCCCTGTGCCGCTTCCTCCCCCAGGCGCCTCCAAAGACGACCTGCTGGCAGCCGGGCACGTTGGAGTCGATGCCGAACCAAAAGGTGCAGGGCCTGCAACACAACAATGTGTCATGCGCTGCAGCAACGCAAGGGAGGACATTTCCATTGAGCTTCCATTGAGCACTAAGTGTACGCAAAACAAAACAATGTCTTCCCCAAGTCAAGAACTGACTTTCAATTCATCAACAAAATCCATTGCTGCTTAGCAATTGATAGAAGCTGTCTGAATCATGCAGGTTTTGTCAGCGGCCATGTGACACAAAAATGTGCCAGCGCAGCGCAGGTGCCCAGTTTGCAGGCTCAAATCCTTTGATTACATTTATCAAACAAAACGTGACAAAACACTGCCCTAGCACCTTGGAGGCGATGTTGGGCTTAATTCCAAGCGAATATCCTGTTTGTGTCTCAGTTTTGGTTAATGTCCAAGCATTTACAGGCAACAGTTGCCAACCACAGGTAACAGTATGAGCCAAGAGCCAGCATTTGTGGGCAGCAGTTACCAACTTTAGGTACAGGCATAATGCCGCACCTGGATCGGTGGTAGGCCACCCTGACGCCCTGCACCTCACCAGTTCCGTGGCACTGCACTGCCTTGTCGCCGCCCTCAATGCGTGTCTCCGAGACCGTCAGGGCTCCTGCTCGGAGGGGGCCACAGGGGGCCTGTAGGAGGGTGCCAAACTCAGCAACACCAGAAACAAAGCTGACTGTATCATGCAGTTTCCGATCGAGTCGAAAAATCGTGCTTACAAGTCCAGACAGCTGTGCTCGATCAACACACATGGTCCTGTGAATACTTAAGTGGTGAAAACAACAAGCACATGCCTGTGAGTAATCAAATCCGTTTGATATCTGGCTGCTTTCAATGTGCGGCATGTGGTTTGATTGCGACTTGATTTTGATTTCAGGGTCCAGGTGCTGGGCTGACAAGGCAAATTCATGAAATCTTAACAAAACTGTGACAAGACCTTTAAAACTCGAAATTTCCGATTTTTAAATTGTGCTGCCATGGCGATTGCCAGCCAGCACCATAAGCCCAAATTGCACGATCGGGCACGTCAAGCTCACCCTGCACATGCATGGGCCTCATCCTGTGGATTCTTGTACTCAGATGACTTCTACCACCATGCACCCTCAAGACGCCAACATATATATGACATAGCGGCCATTTGGTGGCACAAGACCAAGACAATACAGAGATGCATTGGCAGCAGTGCAACCACACATCAGAGTCTCTGACGCCGCCATGACAAGGGGCATACACTAATATTCTTAGGGCAATGCAACAATTTGGTGGCACAAGAGCAAGGCAATACAGAGATGCATTGGGAGCAATGCAACCATACATCAGCGTTTCCTGATGCCACTGTGACAAGAGGCGCACACAGGTGCTCCAGTCCACGGGCGTCACACTTCAGCTGGCACGTCTCCACCCTCAGGTGCCCCGCCCGGTGCAAGATGCATGGACCCACGCAGGTGTGGATCGTCAAATTGGCCACTCTTCCAGAGGCCCTGTCCAGCAATAGGCACAAGGCTTCAATGCGCTCCATGCATTCAATCCATCCAAATACAACTGATGCGGATGTGCTTTGCTGCAGAATCAATTAGCGACGATTCACCTGTTGATCTTCTCCTTTTGTTATGGCAACAGACCAATGCACGACAACAATGGACACTGCGCACATCCACATCGTCTGTTCCCAGGATGCGAACATCTGGTACAAACAACACCTTGGGCACCTGTGGAGTTTCTGGAAGTTTCTGTATTTGGCCATGTGCTCGCTACTGCCCTGCATGTGCACAGGCTGTGCTGTGTCACATGTCAACAGAGCCTATCAAAAATAATGAAGTAATAATAATGAAATAATGAATGATGATGTGAATTTGCATGTGGCTGCGGTTCCAGAACTGAGCTGTTCTTCTTTCTGTTGGGGACACAATCTCACCTGACGTCCAGCGCCGCATCTGCACCCTTTGGACAAGTCAGCACAGTGTCTTCTGGTGCCGCCCCACCACCCTTGATCTGCAGTGGCCAAGGCACGACCACATCCTTTGCGCAATGGGGCTCGCCGCCATCCAACACAATCGTGTCACCAGGTCTGCACAAGACGTAGGTCACAAACCTCTCAAGTCAGTTGACTGCAGACCCACACTGGGGTGCACAAATCACCACTTTCAGTCTTGCCAAGTATGAGGTGTTGGCACACGCTAAAGTGCGCAACTGAACTGGAATGCCATTCCACTGGTCCATGCAAGTGCACCAATGCTCGCATGCACACAAATCACAGTCCGATTTGGGCCGCTCTGCACTGGAGCGGCAATGGCTGACATTTGGGCTCAGAATGGAGCACGACTGGCAGAGCGACGGCACTTGAGTACAAACCTTCAACCTTCAGCCTTCAACCACCTGTCATCTTATCAGCTACACAAGCAGCAATCGTTGCACAGTTACAAACATAATTAATGCAAATTTCTTACCTGAGTACCTTTCTAACAGGCGGCCAACTGTGGGTGCCTTACTCAAAGTGCTTCATTGTACTGGGCAGCTTCTGCGCACCGTGGCAGACGATAGGGCAGCACAGTCAGATTTACCTGCTGGCTGCGACGGCGGATTGCAATGTGGTGTGCAGCTTGTCCTCACGTTCAGGCTCAGTGGAAGCCGATCCTCTGGATCCCAGTGATGTGGATGACCCAGAGGCCACCAAGGAGGCCGATTTGTGTTGTACTCTCAGCCACATGCTGCAGCTCCCGCTTATTGAATGGAACCTCTGCCCACACGGAAGGACAATACTTCACTATCCTCAATGCTTCTTCTACTACAGATGTCTTACAAGGCAGTGCAAGCATAAATGCTGGCTTCCATTTCATACTGCAGGCTTGTGATTACATCCATTCTTGCAAAACGTTATTTATTGAATCAATGTTTTAGTTGTCGCAGCCTCTTCAAGACAGGGCGCCCTCACCCCCAAATCCAATTAGCTCAATAATTTAAAGACCTTGCAGTTTCAGCAACAAGAATCCAAGATATATAAAGGCTGTGATTGCTGATGTGCCGATGAGCGGTGAGTGAATAAGCAGCACATGGCTTGACCTCAGTGCTGCCTCCAAGGCGGATTGGGACCAAACCTTGCATGCCTGGGCGACACTGAAGCGATCAGGCAGAGGGTCCAGGCACAGGAAGATCCTCCGCAGGCAGCCATCATCCAGATCCAACATGTGGGCCATCACCTCCCCTGTTCCCCTGTGGGTACACACCAGCATTGCTGTGTTATATGCCAAATGCACTATGCTGCATTATCATGCTTCAGTTCCAAGAGTAAGGCAGGTGGGCTGGGTCTACCACAGAGCCAAATGTATGTGGTGCGCTGCAGTGCCAGCCTTCATCTGTTGTCACCTTTGCTTCAAACCAAGTGGCAGAAAAGACACTGTCCACAAGGCTGTGCAATCAGTGCCGTCTGGATGTCCAGCTGCTCACAGGCAAAGCCTTGTTGCACTGGTGTGCATATCACATTCAAGAACTCAAGTGGCACAAACCATGGCAATAAAGGAAATTCACGTCTCTTACCAGCCTACAAGAAAATTCAACTCTAACATGCAAACATCTCAAAGTGAAAATGTCTTGAAATGCACAAATTCCTGCTTGCTGCATAACATTTTGCATGTCCTTGGACATGGTAGTGGTATACTGTGCTGTTCAAGAGCCCTAAGCTGGGAAACCATGTTCAACCAGAGCCCCAGAAGCCCCCCTGAGCCCAGACAAGACCTGGCTCCAACAGTGCCTGTGAAGCGCAATTGATGGTGTTCTTGTTTTTGGTTTTTTCACTGCTCTGTGTTGCGCACTTTTCCTGATGCGCGATCATAACATTTGCCAACAATCCTTGATAAACAAGCCCTTTTGCCTTGTTGAAGATGGCTCACACAAGAAGATCCAACAAGTGTCCATTCAATGGCCTAGATGGTTTCCCATTGTGCTTGGAGACCTCTCCATCATCTTCCACAGCATGGTTGGAAGTTGCGTATAACAGTTCTTTATGCAACTACATAACATAAAAGATACACTTCCTTCGTCCAAATTAATTGTCCTCTCTGACATTGGCACCTTACTTCTCCTTCAGAGACAGCAGTTTCTAGTCAAATACCTTCAAAGTAGCACCCGTGAGTTTCGAGCATTGAGCCAGAAAAGCAAGTCAATGCACTAGATTTTTCGGATTGTTGGTACCTTTGTATCAAGGGCCCCCAGGCCACAGGGATCACACTTGCAGGGAAGCTATTCCAGGACTCTGAGTAGAGTGCACTAGACCGTGCAGGAATCGGGAAAGCACTGAAACCATGCACTTCAAGTCGTTGCCAGCAACAACACTGCTGCTACACGCACAGGCTCCTGCACAATGACCTGCCTACACGCTTTTGGTACTTTTGACACTGATCTGTGTTGTGTTCCTTCCCGCTGCACTGGGAGATTTCTGCAACGTCTTTTATGGCATAGAAACCGCCTCGTCAAAAAGTTTGGGCAGGAGTGGGGTCACACTGTGACCAGAGCAGCATGGTTGCTTCAGGCCGGAATTGTGAACCCAGACAAGACTGCGGAACTGGAAGCATCCCAACGCAAATATTACCAAAGGACAGTGGAGGCAGGTGCATTTACTTCCCGAGTCTGATGCACCTATTCCCAGAGCGTCACAGCTGGCAGCAGCACAACCGCTAACATGGATTTGAGCCCAGTCTGCAGAGCTGCTTCATTGTGCCAATTCATCGACAGCAAAGGAACGCTTTTGGGTGGCTGTCGCGCAAAACATCGCCTGCAATTTGCAAGGGCCTGGGCCCGCTACGCCAAGCGACAAAACAGCTTCCACGCAATGAAGAACTTTGAGCCCGTGAGCCAAAGGGCCACAAACGAGGGACGCCGGCATGGGGAGGCCAGGGGCCGAACGAAGTCGAGCGGCCAAGCGGATGCCCACCGGGCGCTCCAAAGAGCGGCGAAAGACGCCCAACGGAGGCGCCGGGGCGCGAGCGAAGAACATCTCCCCGTCGCTTTTGCACGATTTGACTTGGCGGATGTTTCGGCAAACGGGCGACAAATCCAGGCCAGGCGCGCGCAAGTTTAGGCGTCCTGGCCCGGTTGCGGCGCGCGAACCCCTGCGGAAGCTCCTGCACGGCGTCGGCGAGGATGAGTTCCTCGAGGCGCTGGAGAAGGATGCCGAGGCCGAACAGGTGGGCGGGCATCCCCATGGGCCCCCCCCGCCCACACCCCCGCGCCCCAAAAAGTGGCCCCGATTCCGCCTCAACCGCGTGATTCGATCCGATCCCCTTTCCCGTGCCCCCGCGTGGATCCGAGTGCCCCTTTTGCCGCCCGCTTCGGCCATGCGCCGTGGAGGCGCCGGCGTCCCATGCGATCCCCTCCGGACGGCCCAACGACCGGCTCGACCAACAGCCCCGCCCGCGTCAGCCACCAGATCGCGCGCAACCGCAAAAGGAGCCAACCTTCGATGGCGCCGATCGGCCGCGCGGCTCATCATGTCCCGCCCGCGCGGGTCCGCGGCTGGGGTAGCTGAGAATCCGCAAAAACAAAGAAAGGGACAACATCCCGAAACCGGTTTTTGCTGGCCGCTTACCGGGTGGGGAGGGAGGATCGCCGCGGGCGGCTGGCCGAGCAGGTGGTGCGGATCCCGTGGCGGTGGTTTTAGGAGAGTGTTTTGCGGGGGCGCCCGGAGGTTGGCGCTTGCGCCACGCCTGGCCCAGCAGCAAGCGGTGACAGGACGCTGGGTGGACGGATTGCAGGCCCGATGATTGTCTTGTGTGCTGGGGCCAATGATCTCTGTCTGTCTCGAGGCCCTAAGGAACTGGATGTTTCGGTCTTAGGTCTCCCTGCGAGGGGATAGAAGCCATTTGGCGGGATTTCTGGGCGCTGGGCGCGGGCGAGAGGCGGCGTTGTTGGCAAAGTGGTGCGCTTGCCGCGCACCGCCACTTGTCATTGTGGTTCGGCGTGGTTTGCTCTAATGACGGAGCTCCCAATGGAATGTGTACTGCCAGGGGCCCACGCCCCTAATCTGCGGCGATCAGGCAACCTTTCGCAGTCCGCATGAGCAACCACTTCTGCCAGACTTTCTGGACGTTGTGGCGGTTCAAACAGTTTGCCAATGCGGCCAACCTGTCCATGACGCCACGGCCCGGAAATCGACGGATTTCATGGCTGCAAGGGTGGCCATAGTGGTGTGAAAAATGTGAAACATTAAACTCACCGCTTCCCCGGAGCATGGCAAGCGCACAGCCGCTTTGAACCAGCCCTCGTTAACCATGCAACAAGGGTTTGAGGCTTCCTCCTTATCATGTTTTCGAGTTCATTCTCAAGGTTAATCGAACCACAAATCCCAGGCAACTTCATTAGCAAGCACAAGGATGCGATGCAGATCAACTTAGTTTTCGAGCTCATGCTCAGAAACACAAGTGGTACCCACCACTGCTTTGAATGTCTTTTTCGAGACAAATGAGCTTGCACTGGGGAAATCCAGAATGAACTGGACGCCAAGAGAGGCCAGCTCAGCAATGGCCGAGTCCTTGCGATCAGGAACGTGACCTGAATGAACACCTTAGTCCTACATACCTTTTGCTGAACATTGGCAGCCAGAACCATTGTTGATGATTATCAGTGGCGACACTCCCATGCAGCGAAGCACGTGCTTCCCACGCACGCCAGTCGCATACCCTCACTCATGTCTGTCGTTCCATCCATATCCTTCACGTGACACACCGAAGGTTGCCATTTTGTTTTGCCAACAGCACAATGCTCCTCACAATGATTGCGAACAACCCCTCGTCGGATGCACCCCCCGCAAGTTCTCGAAACGCGCCACATGTCCGGCGGCGGTTGCAGAGACACTGTTAAGGATCTGGTAGTTGGGCATTAAGTTTTGGTACTAGGGGTCTATGTTTAGGTTTTAGGTTTTGAGGTCGTTTATGTTTTTAGTCAGTTCAGCCTTTTCAGGTTTTCAGGGTTTTGGGGCTTCTAGTTCTTTTAGGTTTGTTCAGGGTTGTTTAGGTTTGTTTTAGGGTGTGTATTGTTCAGTAGTCTGCAGGACAGTGTCTCACTGTGAGAGGTCAATATCGAGGAACGGCCTCTGTCCCCCCGGCCCCCTTCGCCCATGAAGCTCCCCCTCCCGGGCGCTTCCGCGCTCGCCCGGCGCCTCCCCCCACCTCCCTCCTCCCCCTTGCCCCCCTCTCCCCTCGACGTCCTCCGCCGCCCATCAATTCCCTGCCCCAACTGCCCCCCTCCCCGCGACTGGCGCACGTTCGCCGATCCCCCGGGCACCACCTACGACCCCACGATCCCGTTCCGGGAATGGGAGGACGAGGCAAGGGGCCTGGCGGATTTCGACGAGCGGTGGCGCGCCAAGGCGCCGACGCGGCCGGCCGGCATGCCGGACTGGCTGTGGGAGAAGAAGAAGCGCAGCGTGCTGCGGAAGATGAAGAAGTGGCGGTTCGACGAGGGCGGGGAGCTGCGGGGGATCAGGGTGGTCAACGAGGGCGTGCCGCTGGTGAGGAGGGGCAGGGTGGGCTGGGCATTTTGCTGCGGCTGGTTTTGTCCGAAACATCGCATTGACATTGAGGAGTTGGGCGCCAACCCCTCCTGACAGTTATTGTTAACACTTGTTAGCAGATACCAATTATTGTTATCTGCACAGTTGGCAGTTGGCTTCTTTGAGCTCATCAGGTCAAGCCAAAGGGGGAGGGAAGTGCACTGACTTCCGAAATCGAATGGGGAAAAGTAGATGGGCATGATGGATTCATGACGCTGGCAGAAAAGGCTGTTATTTCGATGCCAACGCTGTTGTTTCGATGGCATCAAAGGAACTGCAATGGCTCACATTTGGTGTCAAATGGTATCGGAGCTTGCATCGCGAAAATTTTGTTTTCTGCCTGTGGTAGTGAATGTAGCCATTGCAACGATGCTGAAGGTGGCACGCTGGTCATAGGATGTGTCTCTGCTAAGTGCAGATCATCAGGGAACTTTCGGTTGGTGGCAGCCTACAAAGAATTCGCAATTGTGGTCGAGGACCTTTAGGTGGCTGGCTATCCACAAAGATGTCGCACTTATTGCCGTGGGAGTTGGGGATGATGGAGAAGTTGGGGCTGGACGCATGGGGGGAGGTGGAGGGTGCATGAGTGAGCAACAAGGACATGCAACTGTCGAGGGGAGGGGAGGCTGAGGCAGGGGATGTGGGTGCATGGTGTGCGCTATTTTAGAATGCGATTGTTGATGGGAATGGGGTTGATGGTCCAACATATGTTCAGAGCTACTATCATGGTTTCCGTCTTATGGCCATGCCATATGTGACTCCATTTTGACACAAGGCAACGTCACTGCGGCAGCTGCGATGGCATCGCGGTGGCTGTGATGGCACCGATTGGTGTCAGGATGGTACTACATTTGGCATCACCAAGCCAGCTTCTCCTTCTTCTGTTTGGTGGGACGCGAGGGTGTTCAGTACAGAGATGGCACTGGTGGTGCTGGGAATGGGGCTGGCTGATTCATATTGACTTGGAGTTCAAAAGCGACTGTAGATGTCGATAGGAAGGCTGAATGTGTGTGTGTGTGTTGCAAACACGAGTGAAAGACAACACAGTGGTCATGGCACATGTCCCCGCTTCTCTAAGGCGTTTGTGGAACAATAACAGAAAGCAAAGGGCCTCAAAATGCTTGGCAACAAAACATGCCAAATACAACATCAGGAGCAGGTCGAGTGAGTGGCAGGTGTTGGCCACATGGAGGGTCTATGCTAGCAAGCAGTATGTGCGCATCCCATGGCAGTACATGTCCAAGTTGGTCCACATCGTTGAAGCTCATCCATGTTATGGCGTCAGAGTTGTGCACCTGAGCTGCATGAAGTATGCAAAAAGGGAAAAGATGGCCCTGCAGTATGGATGAGCGAATCTTCCTTCACATCCAGCATACTGAAACTTGGCAGTGATGCCAATTGACACTGGTTCATGAAAAAGCAATGTACAGGACACTCTAGCATTTTCTAATCATCCCATTGAGAAAAGTCAGCTTCGAATGGCGATACTGATACGGAGACAGTCCTTTTGGCAATGTCGAAGAGGCTCATCCAAACATTCTTGCTCAGGGGGGACATGCTGTTGACGATGGAGTAAAGTGTGAATCTTTGCTGAATTCGAGGGCAGCGATCCAGTTCATTCGCAGAAGGGGATGGAATGGACGCAACCTGAATGCATGTTTCGTGCTGCTCTTTGTGTGCAGTTCATTAGCACTGAGGGGTTTCTGCACCAAAAACTGAGGAGGGCAGGACAGAGTGGGCGCAATAGTCATTTTGGTGAAGGAAACATAGCACGCTAAGGAGGCATGTCTCCTGAACAAGAACTCTTCATAAAGGAACATGGATTAGTTTTTCTAACTTGCATCTGGATATGTTCTTTTGCAATACCTCCTTGTTTTAAAGTGAAGAAGGAACGCAAGTTCCAAAACGCATAAGACACTCTCTGGGGCATCCGAGCATGGTCCGAGCATTTGGGCAGCTGAACATTATCTCTGGACATCGTTTTCAACTGTGCTTTGACAGCGTTGGCCGGAGCTGATGCAGCAGGGCGCTTCTGCGCCTTGATGGCATCGCACGGCTATGTTTACAGTCCCAGATGTCCCACTGGCTCTGCATTGGCAAGCTCCATCCAGAGCCGAGAAATTTTGTACTGACATGTTTCCTGGCATGGTTTGCAGAGAATCAGAGACAGGCTGATTGGGGAGGGCTTAAAGATGCAGGCGCAGTTTCAAATTGGTGAGACGTCGCAGCGAATGTGTCGTGTTGTGGCCCTGCAATATGATTGCACAAGGCTCTGCACATGCCGTGTGCGTTGTCTGTTCTGGATGTATTGTATTGTGTGCATGGCAAGCATCTTGGTGTACTGAAGGCACATTATTGGTGCAGGCTTGGATCCTTCTTATCCTTGTGGACAACTTGCAGTCCTGGTTGCGACCAATACAACATGGCCATTCTAGGCACTGTTGGGCATACAGTGGACAGTGACATGCTCATGAGGGATAACATTGCTGTTGTGAAAATTGTTCATTGAATCTATATCAAATTGTTTCATGAACAGCTCATTGTCCAAGACATTGAGTTGGTGATGGGGATGAAGATAAGGACAAAGACTGCATTTTGCAGTCGCAGCCATAGAGTGTGTCCATGGGACAAGGATTTTCAGTCAAACAGCATGGAACTTCGAAACCTGACTCAGTATATCTTCACTGTAGGGAACATTTGGTCGTAATGCATGACCACATAGCAGCCCAATGTCATCCACTACACTGTATATAAGGGTGCATTCACTCTGCACAAATCGTGTCTCTACCTTACCCCAGAGTGAGGCCAACACGTCCACAGAATATTGTCCTCTGAGAAATTTCACTACTTGGAATTCCAACATAACGATCTCATTTCAGGCCAATGGGATCCATGGTGAACGGCTGCCCAACCATAACATCCAATGGCATCACTTAACTGTAAGATAAGACCATGTGTGTCCAATTTCATTGAATCAAACCCTTTCACCAGACAGTCAAAATGTGGGTATGGTGGGCGGTGCGCAAACACACATGCATAGCGTTGGTCTGAGCAACAAAACTCTGGGCTTTGTCAGCATGCCAGGCAGAACACCTCCATGGAACCCAAAACTGATACCAGCACACCTGCTGTTTAAGGGCTGTTGAATAGTGTTGTGTTTAAATCCCTAGATCGCCTCTAAACAACCTGACCCTTTGTGAGCATGCGCACAGGGCGCTACGGCATCAGTGATGACCTAGTGCAGCACATCAGGGGGGCGTGGCGCCTGCATGAGATCGTGCGTCTGCAGATCTGTTCACCCTGGAAGGACAACATGAAGGAGCTGGTGAAGAGGCTGGAGCTGAAGACAGGAGGGCTGGTGCTGGACAGGGCAGGTGGGGACAAGGGGCAAACTCTGGATGTGCCGATCGTTGCACAGGCAACGCATTTTTAAGTATTTTGAGTTTAAAAAGAAAATATTAAGCATAGCTTTGCACGTTTGGGGCATGTTGTACATGTGTGCAACCACTGGATGGGGCACTATGAAAACAGTCTCAACTGGCAGATGTGCGGCGAACATGCATGAACTAGTATACACAATCCAGTTTCTTTTGTGTTTCCTTCACTGGCTTGTTCCTGACTAACACGTTCGTCAGCCATTGGTCAAGCCCCGAATCATCTGTGTGTGCCTATATTGTCGTCATCTTGGGGGCCAATGCAACCAAGGGTATCCATCTGCCTAACAAAGTGCAATACTGTGGTTTTGTGCGTAGCTGTTACTTAACTCAGATCACCACCACCATCAGGCGTCAATGATCGACTGACGATTTGAAGATGTGTTGATTTGCATACAAAAGGGAATTTGGCTGTCCATTGTTGTGCATGACATGCTGCTGAGTCAATGATGTGAAGCATCGATTGAATTTGCTTTGCCCCAAGAAGAATGCAAGGGACATCACTTCAATACTTGCAAGCGCCATTGTCAATGTGTCATTGTTAACAAGTCATTACTAATATGTCTTTAACGACGCGCCATTTGCCAACCATCGCTTGCGTTGTGTGCGCACGTCTTTAGGGAGCCGCCTGCTGCTGTACCGTGGCTTCACAGACATGGACCTCGCACGCAAGGGCATCACGGACCCATTCCAGTTCCAAGAGGATCAGGAGGCCCGCATGGAGCAGAACAACACTTTCGTCGAATTTGCCGAGCCGTCAGAAATTGATGACGATGATTATTATGATTCTGTCAAAGATGACGACGACAACGGTGTTGATGGCGTGGATGACGATGGCGATGGGTATGCAATTGAAGAGGCAGGGGAGGGGGAGAGCCTGGAGGACGAAATCCTCGGGGCCCAAGGGCGCGGCCAGGAACCCATGAACGGAAAAACAGAAGGGTCGCGTGAAAAAAACGCGAGGGCGGTGGTGTACAGGAGTGATGTGGAGGAGGAGAGGTCGAGGAGGGTGGGGGATGTCAGGATGGGGGCTGTGGCTTTTGGCACGGAGGTGGGGGACGAAAAGGCTGGAGGAATGGGGAGAGATGATGCAGGATCGGTGGTGCTGGGCAGGGAATTGGACGAAGGGGAAGTGAGAGAGGTGGGGAGGGAAGGCGTGGGGCCCATGGCTTTGGGCGGGGAGATCGAAGACAGGCAGCGGGGCACCAGTGTGGGGATTGTGGGCAGCGGCGCAGTGGGGCGTCGGCCAGGTGGGGAAGCGCAGAGCTCATTGCGTGGGGTGGGCCCAGGCCCCAAGAGAGACGCTGGAAGAAGAGGTGCGGAGAGGTACCAGAGGGGGGCAGAGGGGCACGGAAAGAGCTGGGAAAGGAACAGGAGAGATGCTGCGATGAGCAGAGCAGGTGACAGCGCAGCAGTTACGGGGAGACTGTGGAGAGATGCGAAACGACGCAACGATGATGATGATGACGACGATGATTGTGATGAATCTGCTGGGCCCCTGGGCCCGCTGGATAATGAAGCGGCAGGTGGGATGGGCGCCGGGCCGCGAGCTGCGGCGATGGGGGAACGGGTGAGCGATTCCGGCGCTTTTGGAGATGACGAGGCGGGTGGCCTCGAGGAGCTCAGCGAGTTGGACATTTCGGCTGCGGCGCGGAACAGGCCTGGCCGCACTGCCAGTTCGGCACGCTCCAGGCGACGATGAAGATCGGCTCGAAGTAGGCTGTTCCTCTGACAATCTTTCCATGTTCTTCGGGCTTGCGTTTCAGTGCTTTGCTGTTTCCAAGGGTGTACATGACGTGAACATGTAAACTGCTGCGGTGGAGTCTGCACAGAGCCTCACACCCCAGGTGCAAGCTGAGAAGTACATTGGAAGTATGAGTGTATGTTGAAGCATATAGTAGAAGCACATGCCAGAAATATTTCTCATTGTAATGACAAGTAGGGAACCCACCGCTGCTCTCGCGGCCGTGGGCCTTCAGGTGTAACCCGATCTTTCTAGTCATGCTGCCACCAGTGACACTGACAACACAATAGATAGATGCCACCACATATTGAGAGACTTGTAGACTTGCCACGTGTCTCCCAGAAGAGGGAAGAAGGGCAGAAGGCGCGCAAACTACCCAAACAAGACACGTGAGGGTAGCGAGGAAATATACCGATGTTAGGTATGCATGTGGTGGGTGGAGCTGCACACAACTCGCTCTGGCAACTCCCAAAGCTTTAAAGTACGTCTAGCGTTAATTGCGCGGGTCCCTTAGGGCCATGTCAATTGGGGTTTATTGCATCTGTGAATGCATCAATTAAGCACAAGTATGGCGTGAATCCGCCAAATAGTGTACGGAACTGTTGGATTAGAATTTAACCCGTCAAGTGCGTGCTAATGAGCATGAATTGAGTGGATTGTTGCACAGCCGACTGCAATTGAATGATATTGAATGGAATCAAATCGCGGAGTCGAAAGAAAAGGACTTCAGTAAGTTAGCTTAGATGGATCAGAAGGATTAACTTAGAATTGGGCAGGTTGAGGGTTCCGCTGGCCCAGCCGCGCTGGGTGACTTGGCACTGCCAAATTATCATGTGAAAGAGGCAAATTGCCAAGTGAATTGGCAACTTCAGCAAGTACACATTCGAGTGGTAGCCCAACTGAGGAGATCAGCAATTCCGGATTGTGAGATGGAGAATTTTAAAATTTGAATTCGCCCAAGTCGAAGGGGTGGGAAGTGACAGGATCCGTGGAAGGCAAACAATAAGGAAATACCGCTGGAGGTCTCTCACTGTAATGTGTGTTCAAAGAAATGCAAAGAGCGTGAAGCACTGCATCACCGGCACGTGCTGAAGTGTGTTTTGAAAGCGGGCGGTCGACCCTGGATGCGGTCCCCCTACGGCCTCGATCTGGACCACACGTCGCCGATGCACAAACCCCACAACGGCCAATACAGAGGGTTCCTTGACGCCCTTTCGTGAACGCGCCCCATGTCAGAGACGTGCTGACCATGCCCATCGTTCAGCAGTAGCACATAATGCCAAGCTCACACAATCTCGATGCGCATCGGAGTCGTGTCCGCTTGATGGCGCTGCGCATCTGCAATGTACCACGCGCTGAAAACGGTGAGTAGATTGGTTGACTGTGGCCGCACATTGGGATCCATTTTCATGAGTGCAAGGGCAGGCAATGTGTAGAAAATTGTCCCCTTCATCACCTTTAGCTGTAGAGTACGTCCATGCCGACGACTGGCACAAGGCAATTCCGGCCCATCAACACATACCAGTTTTCATTGTGTGCAACAAAGTGCCAACCGAATTACCTAACGAGTCCGTTCTCCATTTTGCCGACGAGTGCCGTATTGTGAACGTCACGTAGTAATATAATTACTCTCCGTTAAGCAGCATTGATTATTTTACATTCCGCATACAGAGCACAACTGCGCAAGAGACCATCCTCGCAGCCAAATGGAATCCGCTGCGGTATTCGTCGACCAAACGTCGCCAATGACTAATGGAGGTGAGATGGCCAGTTGAAAACAAAGGACCAATAATTCTGCATTGGAATACACAAGCTTTGTCTTCATGCCTACGGTTGCAATTTCACGTTTACATTTTTACAGGTGTTTCTCCACATTTCAGCGCGTCTATCTGCCTCTCCCTGGGCTCCCTGAGTCGGTATCTACTGTCTTTAAGTACACACTGTGCACTACACAGGGCTCATTTCTGCGCACTTTAAGGGTACTGAAGCGTAAAAAGGGAGAAAATTTTACAGATAGTTTAGCTGTAAAAAGAAAAGCGCTTGCGCCGTAATTACCAAGCCTGGGACTACATATCAGTTGGACTAGTACCTATGCACCCCATGTAGTCCCCTTGTATTATGTACCACAACTGTACCTATGTACTAGCAGAACTCCCCCACAGACAGACAGGAACCAGCCGGGGCTCTAGGTGGCCGAAAGTTGTGGCAAGATCAAGAACAGCTCGCGCACACAAATTAGCGCTGAGCTTCACTTTAAATTGTGGGCTGGGTCAAACCCCAACCCCATCTTTTTCTTGTGTATCTACCGTTTCGTACATTATCATTGTGGGCCCTTCGCCTCTCCCTTTCCTTTTGAGAAAACGCAAAAAATGAGCAAACGAACATGTGCATTGGGGATGACAAATGCGCAAGGATTATTGCAACTGGTTTGGTGCCTTCTGGGGAAACAATCGGCAGCGGTTGTGGGCGACAATGCAGTCATTGCAATGATGACAAAAGGTCAATATGAACAATAACAACAGATGCTATTGTCAGTAGTCGGCTCCGTTTCGCCGGAAGATGAGGGCAACCCTCTAGCCTTCACATGCGTTACGTCGTCATAGGTGGACTGGTCGCTGTCCCGGCACAGGCCACCAAGAATCGGAGAAACGTGATCAAAGCGCTCGCATGAACAACCATCTTCATTTCTCATATAAAACACACCACCCCCAGGCCTCAATTCCTCAGCCGTCTGCGTCCTGGCCTTGATCATCCGCGCTGCCTCTCGATATCGACCAGCAATTCTTCCTGACAGTTGAATTGAGCGCAACCGCAGTACTTCATGAAGACGGCTTCGCACAGCTAGCAGCGTGCGCTTGTGCACCTGCTCGACACCGCCAGCTTGGTGAAATGGCCTGTCTTGTCCTGTGGAGGCAATTATGTAATCGATGGAATTTCATACACTTACTAGGACGTGCTGGGCTCCAGCGCGTTCCGCGTCATGGCGCTCCTGTGGGGCAACCCGGCCCATGGCCCACCCACATTGGACTTTCGAATTTCTGCGAACTACCGAAATTTTGAATTTACAATCAATTGTGTTCTGCACTTCCACAAACGCATGCAACAGCGTCCCATTGACCTGCACAGCTCAGGTCATTTGAAGAGTCCCAAAGGGGACCCCGCGGTTCCCCCCCCAGCCGCAGCCTTCCCGCTGGACCTTGTTCAGCTCCCGGGCCTCATGAACTGCGACAGCACCGCGGGACGCCAGACGCACTTTCAACATCTCACGGACCGGCGCAGACGACCTCCCGACCGACGATTGGCCCTAGCGTCGCTGCGCCGCACTGACCGGTCTTACTTCCCCAAAACGACACAAGAATCTCCGAAAGGGAACAGGAGTCCGCCACAGGTTCGTACACGCGCGGCCCGCCTTTCACCAGCTCTCCGAATCTCTAGTTCACATAAACGCTCTCGCGTACAGACGCGCCGCTCTTTCGCTCGTGGCCCAGGCCGTTCCAGTCGCATGTGCCCACAGATCCCCACAGAAAACCTGTGAGCTCACAGGACTCGGTCACTGTTGTCCGCAGAGCATCGCGGAATGCCAGGGACTCTGACCCACTGGAAATCTGAAAGGAGACCCTCGGGCTCACAGGGGTCTCGGGCACCGTCGCCCACAGGATACCTGACAGGCATCCTGTGAGCTCACTGGAATCCTGTGGCGCTTCTGGCCCCAGGGGCCGCCTTCACGAGCATGCGGGTCTTGAGCGACATGTTGGCGGGGCTGCCCAGCGGCGTCACCGGGCTCCAGGGCTCCACCTGGGCCGTACGAATTGGTGCCGGGACGGGGACAGGCGAGGCCGAGTTCCTTCCGGAAGGCTTTCCGGGACCGTCCCTTAAGGCCGCGGCCTTGGAGCGGCCGGCCGCCGCCGAAGCCGCGCTGACGAACTCTTCGGCAATGCGCACAGTCGTCCAGCGGGACTTTTCCGTGCGGTATCTGGAGGGAAGCCAGGCGGCGGATTAGTGCTCTGCTGCTAGGACCGGCTGAATTACTAATGTTTATCTTTTACTCACTTGTTTCAACACAAGCAAATTTGTATTTATTATATTTCCCTCACTTATTTCACATATCGTGCTGACTTTGCTTATTTTGCGGCCTTTGTGCTGAATTCTGTGCTTGGGTTCGTGTCATCTGCTAAATTTGCCTCCTGCTTTGTGCGCACTTTGTTTCATACTTGTAACTGTTTTGATTTCGGTATTAAATCAATTTCATACCCTTCGTATTTTTATGCTTTATGCTTCCCCTGGTCATTCTGACATTCCATTTGCATGACGTTTTTCATTACATTAGTTTCATCTTCTTCCTGTTTGTCTGCATTCTCTTTCGCCTAAATCATTCTGACATTGAATTTGGATTCCAGCTTCTCTAAGGTGGTTTGTCGTGGATTTCTATGAACGCTTCAGTCTGTTTCAAAGTAAATGTCAATCAACAGATACGCATATATAGTTGGTGACCAAAGTTAATCAAAAGCAAGAATGCCTCCCCTTAATGACGACCCGAATCGAAGTGCGATTTGTAATGTTGCGTTGTACGTTCCTCCAGTTTGATCTTTCCTCGCATCAAGAAAACTCTATTGGGAGATGAGCACATGAGCCATTGGGATGTTTGCAAAACTGTAGAGGGGAGTTATTCACTAAATGGACTTCACTTCATTCCTTTTATGCATGGTTTCATACTTGAATCATTTCATTGTCCCAATTTTCCTGCCTTTCGCCTTACACTCTGCCACGATGTTTCGAATATAATTGTTGCATGTTGCAAGATCCATACCCAACCGCCAATCCCCTTCCTTTCTGATTTGGGTAAACCACGATCTTGATACAGAAACACTTCTCACACATGTAACATGTACCGCACGCGTACATAAGTTAAATGGCGAAGGTAAATATTTTCTTGCTTGCAGGGCACTAAAGATTACCTG